GTCTTTCCAGGAAGAACCAAGACCATAAGAAAATTCATGAAGAGAAAATTTGCCATGAACAATGATGCAGGACTGAATACAAGAATTCCTACAAACACCACCCTGGGAACTTACCTTTAATGAAGCATGCTCTGTCTACTGCTGTTGGTTCCATCATAACCTGCTACCAGGGACAGTGCGGAAATTCCTGTCAACATTATTCCTTTTCCTGTCATGGACTGAAAAGCAATATGTGGAAATCTTCAGTGTTGCCTAGTGACTTTGAATTAAACATGACAGAAAAAGACAAATGTTTGTTAAAAGACTGTATAAATTTGACTTTAGGACAAAGTAATCTTGATAGAATCAAATATCATACTTGTACTGTTGTACACAAAAATCTGAATCTGTAAATAGGGCATATTTAAAATCAAATCCAAAATGTATAACAAGTAGTAGAAATTTTGAAAGTAGAATACATTAAGTTGTACACTCACTGAATAGGGGTCATGGAAACTCAACACTGGAACTTTGTGAATCTGTAGGGGCACCTGTTGTAAAAGGAAGTAGAGTGGTCCATCATCTAAAACAACAAAATAGACAAAATTACTTTAAATTGAAACAAAAACAGTTAAAATATAAATTTCAAAGAAAATACTACAGATCTAAAAGATATCAGCTGTACGATAAAAAATCTAAAGATACTTACAGTAAATCAGTAACAGATCCAAAATTAAAAAGGAAGTTGTAAGACTGTGAAGGGGGGGGGGGGGGGCATTGATGACATGCACATGCATTTCAAATGTATAAAATTTGTATTTAAAATATATTTTGTGAACTATTTTACATGTAATAATTGTTTTTATGGTTCATTATGCATTGATAATTTTCAACTGTGTAAATGGAGAAGATGTGGACATTTGAATAATGTATTATTGTATGTGTAAAATGTGACATTTTGTTATACGAGAGAGTCTGTACATGTAAAAATGTTATATTCTTTATTATTTAGCTCATTAAAATTATTTGAATTAAAAATCTTGTTTTTCTTACCTGTGTGATAAACACAACAAAGGTTTCAGAGGTATTTGGTAGAAATATGGGTATACGGGTGTCAAAACTGTTGGTTGGTAACAAGACTTCATGCCACATTGTTTATCCGCCATTATTGATCTTTTCAAGGGGAGACAACTCCTGAAATCAGAGAAATTTTAGTGAAAATGAGAGTTATCTGTTTCTCTTTAGGTCTCACACAAGGAAATAATTTCACTATATATTACTATAAAGCTTGAATTAAATTATTTAATTTATTACCGTAAAATCTCGAGTATTGGGCGCATTTTTTTCGTCAGAAAAATGTTCAAAATTAGGGATGCACTCAATACATCGGAAAAAAATTCATCCCCCTTTTTTCAGGTCACTTTCTCAGTGTTGAGGACCATGCATTTTCCTGATCCATTTGAATTGATTACCCTTTTGTAACCAATTACGTCAAAGTTAATCGAATTTTAGAGAGTTATATGCGTAAGTCCTACCTGTTGTAGAAATATACATATACCCTAAGTATTGACATAAAGAAAACCGTTTCAAAAATCAAATTCTGATGAAAAACGATCTTTGTTTATATTTTATTTCCATTGCATATTCCGCCATTTTGAACTACCGGCGCTTATATCATCAACCAACAGCATGTTGCTTAAGACAAAGATGTATTTAATTAATACCTATAAATGAGTCAACAGCTATAATCTTTTTGATGTTTTTGATTTATTCTTATTTCTATAACTTATTTTTATGTTTTAAATTTAAGATATGTGATTTGAGTTACAATTTGTTAGGGATTGTATTGTCACGTCATTGCTATATTTAACTTCAGTCAAAGTTGTCACGTAGGCCATGAGTGGGATGACCATTGTTTATATAACAATTTTCACTTCAACACCTGCGTTATTAAAACACTAGGCAGTGGAAGCACATATAAACGTTTTTGTTTAAACAGTCAATTACAACCAAGAAAATTATCAATGGATACCAAGAACTGTTTAATTACTAAAAGCCAACTTTTCGACATTAATATCGCTTGGGTATGACCTAATTCATAATTAACACGCTTGGATTGGAAATAATTAAAAAGAAAATAATCAAGTATTATTACCTCTTTTTAGATAACTATTACAAACATTAAATTAAAATGTTCATTCATGCACACTTGAATATATCTAAAGTGAAGAAAACTGACGTTCTACTCTCGTTTGTGATTTGAAATTTTTTATTTTATTTTAAGTTAATGTACTAGAACAAGTAATGTCACATCTGATTTCTGCGTTTTTGGGATGCGCTTTTTACATAGGACCAGCGTTTTTTCAGGATTTTTACCCCCAAAGTTGGGGGTGCGTCTTTTACAACAATGCGCACAATACTCAGGATTTTACGGTAGACTCTCAGCAAAAAATTCATGAAAGAGAAAAACAAGATTAATGCTTTAAAAAAATTTGAGATCAGAAAAAATATGCCTTATGTTGCTGTTAAGAGAGAAAATCGACAGTAAACATACCTACCCCGAAATGCACGTGGGATTCACATGTTGACAAACAGCCTACACACCATCCAGGAAGTTGCATCATGCGCACCTGAAAAAAGTGCCTTTTAATTCAGTGGGATAATTCTGCTAAAGAAATGATATTCCTAGTACATTAGTCCAATTTTAAAACTGTATGCCTAAAACAAATTGCCAAAAATGAACAAAGAAAAAAAAATTCTCTATATATATGGAACTTCAATTGACTAAGTTCATTTTGATTGGCTATTTCCTTGCGTAAGACCTTTAAGATTCTTCCAAAAGTAAAACAAGCATATGTCTTCAGGACAGGTTATCAGTAAGGGACATCATGGAATCAAGTTATTTTTTAAAATAACTTTTTTAGGTTACTTCACTTATTTAAGACTATACAAAGAAGTAACTCACTTGAGTCAAGTTAGAATACCAGTTTTGCCAAAAAACATCAATATGTTGTGTTTTCTGCTGATTAGAGATGATGTAAGGCTGGGGAAGTTGTAAACATATGTACTTCTTTTTATATAAACTTAACAGACTCAATTCTTTAAGCTTTTAGGATGAAATTAAAAAAATATCATGATTTTTTTAAGAAAAATAATTCCATTACATGAACATTTCATGGGTCAATTACACATCCTCTACCAATTTTTCCAACACTGAGACTAATTCTCTTATAATCTTTGGACATTACTGTACCATCCCTAAGTCTTGCATTTTTTGTGCAAAGCTGTATATTTTTGTGCAAAAGTTCTAAAGTGAAGTGGGTTTAGGATGAATCAACATACACTTAAATAACCTGGGTCTAATTAAATTCATAATGGGGAGCAATATTTATGACTAAAGACAGGAACCCCCCCCCCCCCCCTAAAAAAAAAAAAAACTTAAGAGGGAGAGGGCTACATTATTGCAGCTAGACCCCCCCCCCCCAAAAAAAGGGGACTCAGGAGAGAACCGTTCATAAATTTTAAGCATGACCTACTTACAAGATTTATGGTGAAAGGCTCTATATTAAACCACTTTTATTTTTAATTCTTTCAAATAAAACGATGAGAACATTGTTTGAGCTCTAAACTGTCACCGAGTTATTAACCTTTTTGTTTTTTTAATTATTAACTTAAAGCCAACCCTTCTAAAGTTTGTTTATATCTATCTGAGTATATTTTACTATTTCTTTTCAAATTATTTTATTTTAAATTGTTAAAATAGATTCACCTGTAGCTATCCTCTTGCTCAATCTTTTGTTGTGATGGTCGTTTGATCCTTACTTGGCGCGCTTCCACATGACTGGAGTTTGACATTTCGATCCCGATGCATTTTAAACATGAAAAAAAAATACTTATATTATAGTAATGGTAATTGCAAATTGAATTGAATAATGAATAGATGTTAAAATTCAAGGATTAAAAATGATTCCCAATGAAATCTTTCTGATCACAAACTGCTTTTGCCAAATTATATTTTGGTTGATTTTTTTCGAATATATTTTTTTCCTTTATTGATGATAATTTGAAAAAAATTGAACGACAAAATTACAGACACATGAAATATAGAAAGACTATAATTACAGACTGTGGACAAGTATCACAAGAGGATCCTGGAATTATTCAAACGGGGTAGGGATTGGCCCACAGCATAACCTGATAACTGAAATGAAATGCATGGGGATTGGAACTTGAATTTATCACAGGTTAACAAGAAACAAACACATTGATGTTCAAGTAAAACAGCTTCTGGCGATTATTTTATAATATAGATGTAGTGCTCCAGTAGCACACATAGAAAATTTGCGAGGAGCACTTACTTTTAAAGTTGAAGGTTATACTTTTACACTTGGACAATGCACAGGTGCTTGAGGACAGCTCCCCCCCATAAATAAAGACCCACTGAACTTTTCGATTTTTTTTAATTTCATAAACTATCTTTTAGTAAATTATTTGTTTTGTAATCCATACCATCAGAAAAAAAAAACCAAAATGTTACAAAACAAACACTTTCATTTATTTAAAAACTGAAAAAAAAATCGTATTAACCCACTCTATATAACAAAACGAGTCATCCTTACATTTGTAAGTGGTTTATGGGGGATATTGGAGTTGTCGTCCCCCCCCCCCCCACCCCGCGGTCATTGGAAATGCTACTAAAATACATGTAATTTCAAAATCATTAAAGCGGGATGTTTACAGTTGACCTACATACAGAATGGTTGAAAATATTTCCGGTCATTTACTATCGCTCACTTATTAAAATGAAAAAGTAATACAGTGAACAACTGGTGAACAAAAACACAATAAAATAAGGAAACAGGCTGTTCTCTAACATACATAGAATTTCTCTAACAGCGGTCAGACTTCTGACAAGATATCCTATTCAAACACTCTAATGCTAACGTCTAACCTGAACACACACACACACACAAGTAATTCACAGATGAGTGCCTGCCAAGATACACTGATTGAACGAATGTTAAAATAACATTAAACATAACTTTAAAATACTGCAAAATATACTCACCTGGGTCTGTTTCCCGTACAAATTGGTTATTGTAAACCTACAGTAAGTTTCAGGTATATGCCAGTGCAAAAATTAACAAATTCTACCCTGTCCCATAACTCTGTGTCTTGCACGCTGGAAAGCTCTGCCGGGAATGACCTCAAGCTATTGTTACCCGTCGGCCAAAAGTTTGCAAAGAATCCTGGGTGCTAACGGTGAGGTGTTTGAAGGGTAATTCTTGCAAACAAAACAAGGGGTACCCAAAAGGTTTAACTAGTGATTGTTACAATATGTACGCTCACAAATCACGTGCTACTCACATTAGTTTCAGAGTTATAGCTCGATACAATAAAGAGCATTGGAGTGGTATTTTTTTCTTCTTCAGAATCTTCTCCTTGTCGAACGTCATTATTGACTGTTTACCTTGTAGTCATTAAATAAGTGCATACTGATACGCAATTTTTACTTTTTTTATAATGAAAGTTAAGGTTTCTTTTTAGTATACAGTGAGATGTGTCATTTTTAAAGCGTGAATGAAATCGAATTTTTTGTGACATTCTAGTGTATATGAAGAAGAAAGGTGGACAAAAAACTAAAAATTAACACTGCACACTGAAACAAAATGTTACGAGAAAGTTCCAATTTCCTCGACAATACATTATATAGAAAAAATACAGTATCCTTGACCCAAGCGTATGAAAATTTCATATAGGCTAAATTAATCCATTTACAGTAAATTATTCAAAATGCCGGGGGAAGGGGGGTTATAATAAAAATATTATATTAGCCATGTTATACCTGTATTTCCGTTTTCATTTGCTATTTAGCGCTTATGAAGCAAAATATAAGAATGCAAAAATTATTGAAGCTGCAGAACTGTAGCTCCCCGAAAAAAAATTGACAGACCGGAGAGCTTCAGTGCCACTGATTCATTGAAAAAACTGTATATTTATTGTGCACAAAAAAGTGCGCTGTTTCTCGATTTATTTTTCCATGTTTTTAAAACTATCATCTCAAAAAAGGATATGGAGATAACGAACAGTGTTCAATCTCAAAGTCCATGCATAAGACAATACTAGTACAAGTTGGTGTCCTTAAAAAAAGGACTTCAATACGTGAACCATATGCATGTGTTTCTAACCGAAATTCAGTCAATTCAGGACTATTTCTAGGCAGGCGCGTAGCCAGCATGGTAATGAAGTGTACGCAGAAAACGGTCGGGGGTCTGGGGGCCGCCTTGAGGCCCCAAGTGGGTCCAGGGCGAAGCCCTGGTGGGGGCCCAGGGGCGAAGCCCCCGGAAGCTCCTGGATTTTTCGAAATGTTTCAGTCATTTTCTCGCAAAAGAAATCACGATAATATAACTTTTCTCGAGCAAACACTTAGCTAAGTTATACTGCTTCCATTGATACTTCGGGAAGAGAACGATAATTTATCAATTTAATTTACGCGTATATTGGTATTGGAAAAAAGTTTCCAAGTGTATTAAGATAAAACAGAGTAGCAATTTCAATATCGTTATCATTGGAGTTTAAAAACGGGAGTGTTGTTGTCTTTTGATTACCTTCATATTTGATAGCTGAAAAGATTCGAGAATGCTTCAATTATATAATTCTTTAAATTGGTAACATCAGTAAAAGAAGCTATATTATTATTTATTTTGTTCACCATAATTTAGATTGTTTAACGACATTCAACGACATTTATTCATTACCTCTACGGAAATTAAAAATCTTGTATAGTCTTCTTTGACATTTGTAACTTTTTCTGTCGATCAAAGTCCCTTAGATCGCTTTCCTTTATCAAATATTTCTCCGGATAATCAGGATTACGCGGATTTACAGTTGAAAATTTTGGTTCAACAATATTTTTTTCCTCAAGAATGTTGAAAGATGTTTTTGGAATTGATTTTAAAAAGGACTAAATTTGAATGTGAAGACATGCTGAATAAAATTTGAATCGAAACAATAAGACACAAAATAATTTGAAACACGGGTAGTGCCTCTTTTTCCCCGAATAAATTTCTCTCTTTCATTTTTTCCTTCTTATGGAATGCCATATACGACAGCCAACTGCTTACTGCCAAGTGCTGACTACCAACCGTCGGCTGCTTACTGCCAACTGTCACACATATTTGAATAAATCTTATTTTTATATTGATATTTATGTGAATTTTCAAAAAAATAACCGGCCGCGGACTTAAAACATTTTTTTCAAGAGAGTCACTCGTGCCCCCCCCCCCCCCCCCGCCCGCCCCCCCCCCCCCCCCCCCTAAGGGCACTCTATCTATAATTATAATATATAGGTCCCTTTTTATACATTAAATAACTTTTAGTTGTTTTAGTTTGTGCATGAAATATCATTACAAATTTCAGAGGGGTGTTCCGGACATCTCCCTCTAGATCTACGCATGTAAAACATATCTTATTTGTAAAAACAAATAGATACAAATGTTCGATCGGCGTTTTCTAAATGGAGGGTCGGAGGTCAGTTTTAGTTCGTTTAGTTTATACATTAACCCATGACTGTACAAATTTGAAATGCCCCCACCCCACCCTCAAGATCTTTGCATGTAAAACATTATAACACGCAGAGATATACATCTTTAATTTGAGGAATCTTTTTAACTATAGAATATAATGGAAAATGTAAATTTATTTTCGAAACATCTTTATCTGCGAAACGAAAAATCTTTTTTTTTCTCTCTCTCTCTCTCTTCAAAGGTTTTGTTGTCTCCGGGTGGGGGGGGGGTTACTTCTTTAAAGATTAAAAGCAAAAAATAGTCATTACTCTATTTCAAAAAAGAAAATAAAAAATAAACAATGTACTTTATCAATGGCATATACATGTATTGAATAGTACAAAAATTAAAACATAATGGTCATTTAGTCAATTTAATTTTACCATGCAGGGTGACCTCTTGAAAAAATGTCCTGGATCCGCGCCTGTTTGTTTTTCTTCCTCTTCTTTTTGAAAATTCATATAGATATCAATATAAATATAAAATTTATTGAAATATGTATGGCAGTTGGCAGTAAGCAGCTGACAGTTGGCAGTAAGCAGTCAGCAGTTGGCAGTAAGTAGTTGACTGTCGTATATGGCATTCCATACCTTCTTTTCTTTTATCCCTCTTTTTTTTTTTTTTTTTTTTTTTTTGAAAATGATGTGTACGCACTTGCGTACTTGCGTATAGGCAGCTACGCGCCTGCTAGGTTTAGTGAATATTCATGTATAAGTTTGATCACAGTTTCTATTATGATCTGCCTACTTTGACTGACAGTATTTTCATAGCAAAATTGTTAAATGTTATCTCCGATTGGCCTAAATAGTTTTGACATTTTTAAGAATTGGGTTATATTGATCAAAGGAGGATCCAGATCCGGCGCGCCGGGCGTGCATCCCTTCCCCCTCCCCGTTTGAAAATTTTATAAATATACGTCCATCATCCTGACATAAACATGATAAAGGCAAAAAAATCTCATAATAGTAAAAAAAAAAACAACAAAATAAACAAAACAAAAAGGACCTTGCCTTAGACCCACTGGGAGCTTCGGTACAGCCACCTGAACTTCGTACTTCTACTGCCCCCCCCCCCCCCCGTTACAAAATTCTTGGATCCGGCACTGTTAAATGATACATGTACCCCATAATGGCTGGGACTTGACATCTGTTCTGGATTTATACGGAAGAAATCTATAATTTGAAAAATATGTTTGATGGTACACGTGTAGCACAAGTTCGCATGTTTTTTTTTCCAGCCCCCCCCCCTCTCCATATGGAAAACTCTTGCTACAGGCCTGTATCACGCTATACTTGGATTGCTGTATATCGAATTATATTTGCAAGCCTTTATGTACAAAACAAATGCCGATAAAGTCAAGTTCTTCCCACTTTTAAAATAAATCTGCCATAGAATTAATTTATAAGTTTGCATATAAGTATATGTCTAAGAGCGCCAATAAATAAATACAATATGCAGGTTTAAAAGCGAAATTTGCCAATGAACAAGGTATATTCTCGAATAAGGCGAATTCACGGGTGAGCTGTCTTAGCAAGGGGGCGAACTCTCCCAATCGCACATTCTCGGGCCTTTCCGACTGGCTAAGTTGTTTTTCCGACCTCTGACGGAAAGACCCGAGATAATGCGATTGCGAACTCTCCAGCATTCTCACGCATGCGTAGCCTGTCTTATGCTCATGGCATCCTGTTTAACTTTGCTTATATATTTACTGCTTGGACTGCAGGATCCACGCAACAAAATTAGAGCAGAACAATCATCGAAAATTACGTCTGTTTATACTGGCATTTTGGTTTGAAAGATAATTCGGTCAGACACGCTTCGTGCAGATGTAAACTACGAAAGTAATTGATAGAAGAGTCTCTAACTTTTTTGCAAATGAGATAAGAATTTTGAAGAATGAATCTAGAACCGAGCGCACTTTTTTTGTGCGCAATAAATATACACTTTTTTTTTTCATTGGGTTGCACTGTATCTCTCCGGTCTATCAATATATATATTTTTCGGAGAGCTACAGTTCTGCAGCTGTAATCATTGTAAACAATATCTCCACTTGTAAGTCTCACGTTACAGAATAGACGTCCCTAAAAATATATATATGTTAGACATTATGTGGCAAAAAATAAAAGTGAAGTCTTTAGCTTGTTTAGATTCCAGATATCACTTTCACAATTACTTGAAACATTAGAATGCATACCCAGATAGCATGACTCCGTTGGGCCAACGTTGGTTTTTGGTTATATGGTTGGTGGAGTGTTGGCGTTGGGGAACAGATGTAGGCCCAACGTTGGTCCAACGTTCACTTACGTTGGCATGAAAGCTAAGCCAACGGTGTTGGGCATGTGATATTGGCCCAACGTTGGTTCAACGTTCATTTACGTTGGCATGAAAGCTAAACCAACGGTGTTGGGCATGTGATGTTGGCCCAATATTGGCCCATAGTAGTTACATGTTGACAAGAAACATAGCGATTTGGTGTTGGACATTAAGATGTTTGCCCAACATAGGTCCAACCGAGTAAATGTTGACATGGATTAAGACCATTGTGTGTTAAATATGAAATGTTGGCCCAACGTAGGTCTAACTGAGTACACGTTAGTGGCAAAACATTGCCACTTATTGTTGGTTATTCAATGTTGGCCCAACGTTGGCCCAGCTTAATACATGTTGACAATATAATGATGCATTGCTCTGTGTTCGGCGTGCTTGACTGAACTGGAGTTGGTCCAATACTAGGAATACTGGATTACTAGTACATGTACAAGTAGCTTGTAATGTTTGAGATGAAATGCTGGTCCAACGTTGGCCCAATGTTGCGAAAAGTATTCATCAATTTAGATTTATCTATTGTAAATCGATGGTAATGTAATAAGCAACTAATTATAAACATGTGATCTATATCATATATTGAATGGAAATTATGAGACAATCCTTATAAGTCTGTGAAATACATATAATAATTTTATATTTTGGTAGATTCTATATTTAGCATCATTGAATCAAATTTAAAGTGCTGTGTTTTGCAAGTTTTGGGCTCCAAAATAAATAGGTTGAACTGGTGAAATTCACTGGCTCGGCAGGTGACTATAGGTCTCCAAGGAAACCGTCATCTTTTAACCGCGCACTTTAACAATTCAAAGCGTACTAGTATGTGTCTGTTTAAGTGAAAGCAAGAATTTTAATCCTTTCAATGTAAGTATAGCTTTTGTTTTTGTTATTGAAATAATTAATAATGTGAAATACACAACATTGTAATGGCCTGCATGTAGGCTTTCAAATTATTGGTACCAGGTAGCTGATTAAACAATTGTAATTGATGACGACCTTAACTTTTATAGGAATTGGCGGGCTTGAACAGCTAGAGCAGATATGTCCGGATCTGTAAGTGAACGCAAGAATGTTAACCAGTGAAATGTAAGTAACTATTTTGCACTTGTTATTAATAATTACTAATGTGAAATTCAATTTTAAGGATTGCTTTAAAAATATGTGTGATGCTGATGAACATTTGAAAATACTATTTTAATTGATGACAATCTTAACGTTTGCAGGAATTGCCGGTGTAAAGACGAATAATGACCCCCAAAGAAAAATGACCCCCGGGGGTCATTTTTCGACGTCGAAAAATGACCCCCGGTCATTATTCGACGTAGAAAAATGACCCTTTTGCCCGTAGAAAAAGTGTCACTTCCCTAAAAATTTGCAGAACCCACGTGAAGAAAAATGACCCCCGTAGAAAAATGACCCCCTGTAGATTAAAGCTAAAATTTTTAGGGGGCAAAAAAAAATTGGATAAAGAAGCATATTGGTCAAAATGCTCACCTGGGGCCCGTTTTACATACGAACTTACGACTAAGACCAAAAACTTTAGACGATTGTAAAATTTTAAAAAATTAATCATTCTCTTTAAAATTGTTCGTGTAAAAATATCCTACCACATTCCTTTTATAAAATTTAAAATAATTTTTTATAAAATGTTAATCAAAAGGTTATATGAAGAAATAAATTTGGTCTTAAGTCGTAAAGCCTTTTGTAAAATGGGCCCCTGAGCTTATTGGGAATAAACTGATGATATGTTGATCTCGTAACATTATACAATTATAGCTATATTTGAAGGTAAATGCAATTGTTCGGAATCAAAATGAGTAAAAGATTTATCAAGCCTTAAGGGTTAGGTAAACATTGGTTTTTTTTTTTTTTTGATGGTGCAAATCATCGAACTGACAAATAATATCAGCAGTACTATATATTATTATATCCTCCGCTTGAAAAGCGGGAGGGTATATAATGATTGGGATGTCCGTCCGTCCGTCTGTTACGCTTTGAGGTATCCATCTCTTATCCGCAAATCCTCATATATAAAAAGATGTGTTTGTAACACAGCTATGCCCCTGTATGGCAACATAGCGAAGATTAAACTTTTCTTAAATCCAATTTAAATATATTGTTACATAAAGTAGGGTCTTCTCACAAGAAATACAACTGCAAAATAGGAAAGCCTAGCACCACTTGTTCAAAAGTAATGGCTAAGGATAAGTTTTTGAATGGTAGGTCAACATGGTCAAACTCAAAGGTCAAAGTTGATGATTTCTTAAAAAAAAATGTTTAATGTAACAAGGATAACATATGTGACGTATGAATACCCTAGCCTTAACCGTTCAAAATTATGGCCAAGGTAAAAAAAATCATAAGTACGGAAAACTCCAAGGTCAAGGTCAAAAGGTCAATGTTTTCAGTATCCAATGAAAGGTAATGCCAAAAAACTACATATTTGAAGTATGAGAATACTAGTATCTAACGTTTAAAAGTTATAGCCAAAGTAAAAATTTGGCATTTTTGTGTAAAATGGGATTAACTCTAAGGTAAAGGTCAAAAGGTCAAATTATGTGGTACCCAAAGTAAGGTCTTGACACAAGGAATATACATATTAAATATGAAAGTCATAGCTCCAATAAATGAAAAGTTATGATAAAGGTTAAGGTTTTTGCGGACAAACAAACCGCCAGATGGACATACTGACATACAGACGAACACGATAAAACTATATACCCCCGAATCTTCGATTACGGGGACATAAAAAGATATTGTCTTCAATTAACTTTTCATATTAATATACATTATAAAGAGGACGTTACAACAATGAAAATGCTTGTTCTGATTTTCATATTAAATTCTCTGAAAAATATACTCAGAACTGAGTAAAAGGGTGGAGTAAAACAAGAATCAAGGTAGAACCTATGTCGAAAAAGTCTTTGTGACAAGATTTTCAAACTTTTCAAAATGATAAATTAGTACTTGCTTATCAATCAGTTAAGATTTCATGATATGTTTCCTTGTTTTTTAATCTAGAACAGGCTGTGAAACTTGGTATGGTATTTACATACTGCGACTTCACATTTTCAAATATTTTTAGGGTTACTTGTCATAAAGGGAATATGAAAAATCACAAAAATACTTCTTGAAACAACGTCGTTTATAGACTTCTTTAACTGAATAATATTAAACAATATTTTATCAAGAATAATTTCTTTTTATTCAATAAACATGAAAGATAAGTCCACTATTAAAAAAAATAGTCAAATGAACCCTTTTATTTTTAGTCAATTATTCACCCTATATTTGTAAATATTTTTTAGACGTCTTTGTCACAATGTTTTCAATCTTCAATATGATGAAGAACATAGTCAAATGATTACAAAAATGATTAGAATATATACCTTTCCCCTCGTACGAATAAAAGCTATTTACCGATATTTATGGCACGCCAAATTCACAAAAATGAGCAAAACATAGTTTCACAGTCGATAAACTAGGTTTATCGGTTGTAAACTATAGTTTACGGACTGTAAACTATAGTTAACGACGTAAATCTATATTTTACGTCTGTAAACCATAGTTAACGCGATAATCTATGTTTCACAACCTTAAACTATACTTAACACCGAAAACAATCATTTGCGATTGCAAAACATAGATTATCTGATAAATACAGTTTCACGATTTGTAAACTATAGTTTACTACTCTTAACTATAGTTAACTGTTAACTGATAAATATAGATTCGATTTGTGAAACTATGGTTAACAACTCTTAACTATAGTTAACTGTTAACTGATAAATATAGTTCCGATTTGTGAAACTATGATTAACAATTCTTAACTATAGTTTACGATTGTAAATTATAGTTTACAAACGTGAATCTATGTTTATCAACAAAATCTATTGTTAACGCTTTATTACAGACAGATAAACTTAGATTAACATTCATAAACTATAGTTAACAACCGTTAAATATAGTTTTACAGATGAAAACTATACTTAATGAATCGTTAACTATAATTTACGGTTTGTAAACTATAGTTTACAGTTGATAAACCTAGTTTATCAATTGTGAAACTAGGTTTATCTCATTTTTGTGAATTTGGCGTGCCATAGATATTCATATTCTTGACCTTTTTGCACTTACACGGGATTTAATTATTAAATGACTGTTTGGGGTTACTTTCAGATTGAATATTTATCAGAAATTGTACTTTTTCTTTAAAAAGATAATATTTAATAGAAAAATTGTAATCAAACACCAAGAATATGAATAGGTAACAAATAATTGTTAAAAGGAATGCACATCATTTCATTATAGATATCACAAAAATGTACACACGATCAAACGATCTACAACACGTACATCTTTCACTTAGACACATTTCATCAAGATATTACACTATATAGCTGGCAACTAAAGATTTCTTACGATTTATGCATTCCTTCAAAATGGTTACATACCATTCAAATTATTACGAAAGTTGTATACAAGTACATTGTAATTTCATTACACTAGATAGTCTTGGGTTTGTCAACTTCAAGTCTAGATCTAGTAAAAAAAAAAAAGGTAACTACATTTTTTCTCTTATTCCAGAAATATATTGCCATTAAGCATTATAAACCAAAAAATATATGAATTGAATCAAGATTATGTTGGCATGATTGAATTCTGTGAATTTCAAAATGCAGTATTTTCTACCATTTTTATTGAAGCTGTCAAGTACGGGAAAAAGCGGCATTGAATTAATTAAGACGTCTTAGTGGGTTAGCACAGGTTTAACACATTTACAAGTTATGATGTCATACGAAGTAGGTTCTACGTTAAAAGAAATGTAATGAATACTGTGTGCTAAATCCAAAGTTTATGTCTACATGTATAGTTTTCATTACAATGACTGCGTATTTTACACAAGCCCGTAGCTTTACAGAACATATTATATTATTTGTTCATGTGCATCAACCGGGACGGTAGTACTCGGTATTTTCGGGCGTAATCATAATGTGTAAATGTTATTCGGAACATTAAATTCGAGAGGGATTCAATCCCGAATTTTCTCTTCATGTTACATGTAACGGTAAGTTCGATATATCACAAAAAAAGCTGTAACTAGTAGATTCTGATGGATACAGATTCACTTTTAACACACGATATAATCAACCAAATATCACAATATTGTTATTACAAATCCTGATTTTTTTATAATGCAGAACATTTGTAAAATAGAGTTATCGTTCTTTGGTACTTCCGTCCCGGTTGATGCACATGAACAAAATTTACCCGATTTCATCGAAATATTTACAAATCGGGGGCATATAAAAAATTAAATGGAAATGTGAAAAGGAAGAGGAATGTATAACAAATTTATTGATGTATGCATATCCCATGTTTTATACTGATTTAGATAGATAATCGAGCGAAGTTTGAGCGTGGTGAGGCGGATGACTAAAAAGAGTTGCAAGCCTTCTCTCTTTATATGTATCAGTGGAAAACGGCATTTTTAAAAACAGCTTGTAGAGACGAAAGAGTTGCATTTTTGATAACATATAGTGCATATTAGAATAGAAAAAGAGGAAAAAGATGACTTGAATCCTGATTTAAAAAGAAAAAAAAAATGGAAAAGGGGGGGGGGGTTCCATACCCCAAGTGCCTATGGCAAAAAGTTGTTTGAGCAACTTCATTAACTTTTTTACACTTCAAGGTTTTTACACAGCAGTCGGATTTACACTAAAGGCAGCTATGATCACTGCAGCTCTCTAAATGATAAACTAGTACATGTATATCCCCACCTCCAATAAAATGTCCCTCGTATTAAATTCTGAACCAGAAGTCTCTGTCGAGACTGTAGCTTTACTGGTTTGTACCTATAACAAAGGATGAGAAAAGAAGCCATTGCCATCAGACCACAACTGTAGAAGGAGTAGCTTTTTAAAGGAATTTCTCAGGCATTTCTATTTTTAGTAACCATGGCAACACCGTTCATCAAAATCAAAATCTGATGCACTATTCTATGTATCTTAATGTAGACTACTTGTGTGCCAAGTTATATTGAAATCAGATCATAACTGTAGGAGGAATAGCATTTTAAAGGAATTTCACAGAAATTCTAAACAGTAGGAGGAGTAGCATTTTGAAAAATTGTTTACAGACAGACAGAGAGACGGACGACGGACACCTTATACTATCGCATAAGCTTTTCTGGTCTCTGACCGCGCTAAAAATTCAGCTTTAGAGGATTTGTTGGAATGGCCTAGCTGTGTGTCATGGACATATTTCTATCAAAAAAACCGATGAACTTCTAATGGATTTAATGTTAATGCATGCGTTTTATTCAACAACGAATTACTATTTTATAAAAGTTTAAGAAATATTGAATTTTTAATTTTTAAAGACAACTTTGGTGTAGACAAATTTAAAAGATAAACCAAATGAATGCTCTTTAATATTGAATGCTTTTTTTAGCAGACAGTATATTGGGAACTTATACTGTCCCGCTAATGAGTTAGCTTTTCAAGTGATGCGGTAGAGTTTCTCTCTATTTCAGGCTAGTTAAGCAACGGCGAGTCTGTTTAACCCTTGGATGGGTGACCCCTTCACGTTACACTTTTGTCTAAATTCTCATGTAACTAGTTTGTTGGAGTGCACCAACACAGTTTTTTGGGGGTGGGTGGGGTGTTTTTTTTGTTTGTTTGTGTTGCCATGACAACAGGTGCATAGCCATCCCCCCACTCACACACTTTTATTGCAAAGTTAGACATAATATAGGCATTGAAAACTATGGCTGACCTTTTTTGTTGGTTAAGCCCCATCCCCTCCCCCCAAGTTCAATATGCCCCTTTCAATCTGCCTCTGCGGGATAAGGCCTATATATTCCTTTAAATGTTATTGTTTGAATTTTTTTTAGATATAGAAGCTTTTCTCTTATCTTACTGTGATTTCAATGGTGACTCGTAAAATTGAGTAAAAATAACCATGTAAACGAGTGTAAAAGATTTTTTAAAGTGGCAATAACTTGTTACCAATCCCTTTGTATGAAATATACAATAAAATAAAACAACAATCCTCTTTTATTTCATTTACAGATTTTTTTCCTTCAATCTCCAATCTGGAATGCCAGGGACGTAGTATCCGGGGGGGGGGGGGGGTGTCAGTACATTTTTAACCCCAACATAACCTTTACTATAGTAAATGTTCATAGATGGCATGGTTGGCTCCCCCACTTCATAACCATAGTATAGTGAAAGCAAGGTTTGTAAGGAAAAAAATTGAGGTGATAGTAAGTTGGCTTTGAAAAAGTTGGCCACCCCAACAAATTAAAAGAATTTATAATATGAAATTCATTTAAAGTCTGTTCTCTTTAATAGCCATTAGACTTTGAATTACAATCAGAACATTGTACATCTTGATCCAATTCGGCTTTGATACAAATAGGTCCACGATATTGAGATACTGGTATATCACCACTTGACGTTGGAGGACTGCAGATTTGAACTTCATTATACTGGGCACCCAGTGCCTGGTCTGAAAGACTGTTCTTTAATATACCGGTATGTCTCTTGGGGGGATACCCAAGATTAAAACCTGAGATATTTTTAGGAACAAGTCCTAGTACTCAGACATAACTTTACAACAAATGATCCAACCATTGTGCCATACTGCTCCTATGTATAAAGGCCTATTAGTTTCTAAGGCATTTCATGATAGACAAGAACTGTCCATAAAAATTTATAGAACAGAAAACAAAATTCATCAACATATTTATTTACATAAAAAAATTGCAACAGATAATTACAGCTCTGACATATAAATGATGGAAATAAATTGAACATACACAAAACCCTGGAATACCAGAGCACCTGAAAACAAAGCCTAAGGTGGATGTATCCCATGAGCAAAGCTGATTATTGACATGTAAGAAAAGCAAGTTATGATGAAATAGTGTAGATATAGGTAAAATGCAGTATACAAAGCATAAGACTACCAACATACAAAGCACAAGATTACCAGCATACAAAGCATAAGGCACAAGTATAGAAAGCATAATATTACCAGTATTCAAAGCATAAGGCTACCAGTATCAGTATACAAAGCATAAGACTACCAGCATACAATGCATAAAGATACTCGTATACAAAGCATAAGTAACAGTTTACAAAGCATAAGGCTACCAGAATACAAAGCATAAGGCTACAAGTATACAAAGCATAAGGCTACCAGAATTTAAAGCATAAGGCTACCAGTATACAAAGCATAAGGCTATCAGAATACAAAGCATGAGGCTACAAGTATACAAAGCATAAGGCTACCAGTATACAAAGCATGAAGCTACCAGTATACAAAGCATTAAGTTTACCAGTATACAAAACCTAAGATTACCAGCATACAAAACATTAAGATTACGAGCAAACAATGCATAAAGATACTCTTATACAAAGCATAAGATTACCAGTATACAAAGCATAAGGCTACCAGTATACAAAGCATAAGGCTACCAGAAAACAAAGCATAAGACTACCTGTATACAAAGGATTAAGATTACTAGATACAAAGCATGAGGCTACCAGTATACAAAGCATTAAGTTTACCAGCATACAAAGCATAAGACTACTAGTATACAAAGCATTAAGATTACCAGCATACAAAGCATAAGGCTACCAGAATACAAAGCATAAGGCTACCAGAATACAAAGCATAAAACTACTTGTATACAAAGGATTAAGATTACTAGATACAAAGCATGAGGCTCAGCCTACCAGTATACAAAGCATGAGGCTACCAGTCAGTATACAAAGCATTAAGATTACCAGTAATCAAAGCATAAGGCTTCTAGTATACAAAGCATAAGATTACCAGCATCAATATGTGTAGGTGAACATATGCAAGTATGATTTCTAGAATATCCATTACATTAAAGCAGCCTGCACTGTACTGTAGTCTGTGTCATGAGTATACTTCTAGATATTAACAGTGTCAAATGCAAGCATCCAAATATGCATTGTAAAATGCTTTGCATGTCTTGAAACATCATCTTTGACCAAGTTTAATTCATGAATCATAAAACGCAACATATATTCTTCAAGTCTCTACAAATATTTACATAATTAATTTAAAAACAGTTCTAAGCCCTGAGAAGAATTTAATTCTCCGCAGCAAATGCACACCTAAACAAGAGGCCCAGGGGCCACAGCGCTCACCTGAGCACATCGGCTAGGAACAAGCACATATCAGATCAGAACTGAAAGTTTACTGAGGTGATGGTGGGGGGAGGGGGGTGCATGAATTTTATCCCCCCAGGGGTTCATGATTTGAACTAGAATCTACACTACCTTAGGATGATTCCATATAAATATCACTAATCATGGCTTTGAAGTACTTGAAAAGAAGATTTTAAATATATTGGTCTGCCAATATATCCCTATGTAAAACTTAGGTCGACCATTTTGGCCCCACCCTAGACCCAGGAGTCATTATTTGAACAAACCTGAATCTTCAATACCTAAGGATAATTTCAGATGAGTTTTATCTTTCCTGTCTCAATGGTTCTTGAGGAGAAGATTTTTAAAGATTTTTCCTATATCTTCCTATGTAAAACTTGGGTCGGCCATTTCGGCCCCGCCCTAGCCCCGGGGGTCATGATTTGAACAAATTTGCATCTACACTACCTCAGGATGATTCCACATGAGTTTCATCTTTCCTGGCCCAGTGGTTCTTGAGAAGAAGATTTTTAAAGATATTTCCTATATATTCCTATGTAAAACTTGGGTCGGCCATTCTGGCCCTGTCCTAGCCCCGGGGCTCATGATTTGAACAAACTTGAATTTATACTACCTGAGGATGATTC